CTTCTTCTTACGGGTCTTCTCCTCTTCCGTCTGTTCCTCCTTCCTATTATCCTAGTTTTCCTTTTCTTCTTCATTCACACGACAGCGTTCCTCGTTCTTTTCCGTCATCATCTTCTGGAGCCACTACGCCTTGGCCTACGTCAGTGCCTCCCTCAGTTCCCCTTCCTTCACCTCTTCCCCAACGTCCTCTCTTCTCCTCACCATTAACACCTTTACTTACCACACCTTTTCCAATATCCTCATCATCCTCACTATCCCCACTATCCTCAACTTTTCCATCCTCATCCTCACCAACTCTATTATTGTCTCCATCACTGCGAACAACGTCAACATCAGCGCCCTCATTGACACCTCCTCCTCCTCCTTCTTCTTCTTCTCCTCCTCCTCCTCCTCCTCCTCCTCCTCCTCCTCCTCCTCCTCCTCCTCCTCCTCCTCCTCCCCCTCCTTCTTCTTCATCGTCACCACCACCAACAACAACAAGACCTCCACCAACACTACTACCATCAACATCTTCATCCCCTTCACCACCACCTCCATCATCATCTCTATCGTCCCCTCCCACTCTTCAACCACCATTATCACTCGCTTCTTTACCTCCACCAAAACGTTCGTCATCCCCTTATCCCTCCCTTTCACCATCTCAGTTCCCCGTCGATCCTGCACTAAATTCACTTTACTCTTCGGAGATATTCCCAAATCTCTCCCTAGACGCCTCTGTTTTCCCTCCTGCTATACCTCCACCTCAAACCAGAAGACCTGAGACACAGACAAACGGACGGAAGAACCCACAAGTTTCCCCAACAACAGACGACAACAACAACACCAACAACAACAACAACAACAACAAAAGTCAACAGTACTTCATCGGTACACGCGTCAACGACAAAGACATTGTATTTGCTTCTCCAAAACCACTTAATGAGAGTCTTCAACTACTTATCTCAGCACTTGACGACAGACTACAGGACCCAGTTGCTCCCCCCGACAAGGGTGATGGCCGGATCTTCTTTGACAGCAGACACACTTTGTTTAGAAACGTCTCACAAGAGGTAAGGGTTGACTTATGACTGGATATCTGAGTGTTTGCTTTAGCTGGAGTGAGATAGACTCAAAGGTTTCTGGGGCGAGAATGTCTTGAAGTTTGAAGTGTAAATAATATCAAGCAATTTGTCCCTACAGATTAGGTACTTGGAATAGATGTGAACTAATTTGGTATATTGTTTTGATTCTTATGTGACAGATCTTCAATTATTCTTTACTTTCTAAGACTGTAGAAATGTTTTGACTTACCTCTACATGTAGTTATATATATATATATATATATATATATATATATATATATATATATATATATATATATATATATATATATATATATATAATTAGTTTTAAAAGATCTCATGCTGATTCATAACACTGTTAGCTAAGTTTAAAAAAAAAGTATATTACTCTATGTCACAAGGGATGTATATAAGTAACTGGTTTATAATGGTTCTTCTGTACACTGTGAGACGAACCTTATAATATAATCTGACTTTCAGCTGCCATCGTGTGACGTCATTGAGTGAAACAAAGGTCGACCATGACGCAATACTTGACAAAGAACTAACAAAGGGACGCACTCTCATATCTTTCTCTCTTTTATCCTTCCCATAAACTACCAGCCACCCATGATAACAGTATCTGCTTTGTAATTAGAATCCAGTATTATTTACTGACTAATCTGATACGGCTCGTAAGAAATTAGACACAAGACCTCCAAGCTTTCGACTGTGCTTCAAGTGAGTGTTTCTCTGAAGATGAAACACAGTCAAGAACTTGGTGGTCTAATGTCTGTTTTCTTTACGTGTATATTGTGAATGTCTTTATGATATTGACTATTAAAGTGAATTAATTTGGTTCAGATTACTAACTTGCATTAAAAGACTACATACATACTACATAAATAAACAAGACCTTGTCATATCATAGTTTTTTGCCAATAAAATTTTTAATTTATATTATTTACTTAATTATTGTGACATATATCTAAATAAATTCTGAATTATGATTTTATTCAGTTACTTAGTAAATCCATCAAGGCTTCAGTCAAATAATGCAAAATATTCATTAAGTCTTTGCAATTTTTGGAATTTTAACTTATCGTTCCAATTCCCCGTTGATGTTTCGTCTCATGATCAAAATCCTCATTCACTTGTTATTCAGCTTCCCTCAGGTTCCACGTTGCATTTAATAAATACTTCTTTGTTTTGTGATTATTAATCCACTGTACCACACAGACTTCTCGAGACTTCTACGGTGAGCCTGGTGGTGATTATGACCATGATTATTATTATTATTATTACGCCAATCCTGAGGACTATACTGAAGAGTAAGTTCTTTCGCTTTGTTCCTTTAGTTAGTTTTCACCATATGTTATGTATATGTAATAGACTAATTAGAGTTTGAAGGTGATAATGATAAAAAATGATAAAATGAAATAAAAGTAGTTACCCATTTGAAAATTATTAAAGAAAACGAAGAAGATACAAAATAAAGACTAACTAGAGTAAATTTATTATCGCTATCGCAACACGTCATTCAAACTCAATAAATATTTGTATACATTTTAAGGTACCCCAAAAATACCCATTAAAAAGTTATAATAATATGTTATCCATTTATAATCAATGCAGGTTTCCAAATCCAGAACTTGCAGCTTACCATCCTCACAGCTTCGAGGATCTGAGAGATGTGAGTTCCTTTCAGTAATTGGTGTTGGTGGCTGAGAGTTCTGAAACGAATCTTGAAAGGACGGATGATGTTTCCTTAGAGTCAATAAAAATACGTGTGGATATAAAAGGGATATAAACATAGAGAATTAATGGAGTTTTACAGACTGGGTGATGATAAAGTCACATGAATATCAACAACTTGAAAGATACTGTAACTTATAATCTCCTTAACCTAACTTAGACCAATCTAAATTATTCAGAAATTAACTAAGTAGATGTTAAAGTCCAGATATCGTAGCGTTAAAGATAAATTTGATAAACATCTCACGTCAGACGAAAGAAAAATAATTCAACAGGCTCATTCACTCTTATTTTATAACTATGAGAAGTGAGTAGTGAGACCCAGACTGATCACCATATGGGAGAGGAAAACAACTTAGTCTGTCTGATACTTTTGATAAAGTTGGTTATCTTAAGGTTATACAAAGTGTCTCAAAAAAAGGTATACACACTGTCAAAAAAAATTCTCGGAAATTGCATGAATGTTTGTATTACAACATCAACTTTGTCCTCACTTAAGTGATACCTCTCACGTCAATATATGAGGACAATGTATGTGATAAGGAATAGACCGTAGACAACCTGTATTTAGTCTTCTATATCAGATTTATGATCTTAGATTTGACTTCCTTTTTTTTCTATTGTTACTACGTGAATCAATTTGAATTGGCATTAGAAACAAAGTCCCATCCAAGGTCTCATAGTCTTGTTCATAAACTGATTATTGATTGGTATTTGTGTCTAAATTTGCCACAGAGTTACGTCATTTTCTGAGATAACTTCAGTTCACTTATCTTCATCCTCTTGGTCTTATCTGGGAGACTCTAGTGATTGAGATTAATGTTCTCTTCCTTATTTACTTTTTATTTACTTGCTCCAATATTCAGGTTTCTGTAAAGTAATCAATACAATTTAATTTTGGATTTTGTCACACAGGACGGGGACGGCCAGCACCAACAGCCATTGGTCCCCACACACTCTCCTACACACGGTGGTGGAGTACTGCAGGGCAACACGGGGAACCTATTCTCTTACACCATCAGCCCAGCACCTCCCACGACCAGAACACCCAAAAGAGTAAGATGCGAAGGCCAAAAGTATCTTAGTGCTATATTACACAATATTAGTTAGTACGTGATCAAAATAAGGAAATATGTCTACGTATTTTTCTTAACAGTCCAGCTTTTATTTTTGCTTCGCTTGAGCAGTTGTCTTGTGGCTTCGTGTAAACTCATATATATGTTTACTTTTTTGGTGTTGTGTCTATCTCGTATCGATCTGTTTTAATTTCATTTCCTTTTATTTCAAATATTTTACCATTATTTTGAGGATTATTAATACTGGACTAATCAACATAAAAGATAGTCGGTAATTTATTGATTTTTAGTTAAGACTAAAAATTTAACTCTGGAGAGTATGGAGGTCAGAGCGTGAGACACCTGAATAGCGACCTCTTCATCCATACCCACCACCACCCATATCTTCCCCAAACCCTAACCTCTACCATCAGTTTCCCCAACTCCCCTCTTCTCCCCAACAGTCCCCACCCGGAGGCGCGTTCTTCACCCCTCCCCCCACCACCCCGAACCCCTACTTCTCCTCCCCAGGTAAGTACAGCAGTGGTCCATCCCTGTGAATTCTGGTTTTCTATGAAAGATATTCTCGTGTGAGTTATAAGTACTAGCATAGTCACCGCTCTCAAACAGAAAATGAATCCTTTTTGGTTGATAAATTAGTTGCAATAATGTTTCTTATCATGTCTCTTTTAAAGATTAAAAAGAGGGAAATTTTTCAGGATTTTTTTTGCCAAACAACTTACTATAATCTTGCTTGCTTAACTGTCTTTGTCACATATATAATTTTGATGCTTTAATGCAATTTTTTGTCTTTTTAAACAATTCAGTTATTATTATTTCTCTCTCTTCATATATTTACTTGTGTGAAAGATAATTTAGTTATTCACCCAAAGACGTTAAGTTCTTGCTGTCTGTTTCTAGTTGATATTTCATCAAATAATAATTTTCTTTTTAATTGGTTTTCTTTTTTTCGGGTTTGTAAACTTGTGCTTCACTGTTTTAATTAAAGACAGCTTGCATAAACGTCACTTCAGGCTCATGTTATTATAATAGAGAAAATGTTGTTGACGTGTTGATATACTTAATTCTGGGTCCCTCGTCTTGTCAGTTGATCAGAGGCGTCACATGTTCCTGCGATATCTTGAATTACCATTTGTTAACTATATATTTTTCTCATCCTTGCATTCTTGACAGATTTTCTTCAACTTGAGCAAGACTGGAGCATGAAAATCGACTCTTCCTCCAATCCCTCTTCTTCCTCCATTCCTTACGAACCTAGACCTTTCTTCCTACCATACAGGAACTCCTTACAACACTCTGATCTTCTTAATCATCACCAGCAACACCTTTCTCAACACCCTCCTCCTATCCACCACGACCACCCGCCTTACGATGGATGGAACGACACTACTCATCTCTCATCTTACGAGCTGGACGACGGCTTGTACGACTACATGGTAGCGTACGACTATGAAGATTACTCTGAGGAGGAGGTCGGTCGGCCTTACTCAGGAGGTCTGGTGGAGGGTGAGAGGTCGCCATCTCACCCTCAGGAGGCTGGAGGACGAGGTTTACAGAGGATCTCCAGGCACTCAACGGTGGAGCCTTACTATGGCAACACGTCGTATCAGTATCCGACTACTTCACCTCAGTACCCGACAGCGTCACCACAATACCCGACAGAATCACCACAGTACCCGACAGAATCACCACAGTACCTGATATCTTCACCACAGTACCCGACAGCTTTGCCTCAGTACCCGACAGGTTCACCACAGTACCCGACAGCTTCACCACAGTACCCGACAGAATCACCACAGTACCCGATATCCTCACCACAGTACCCGATGGATTCGCCACAGGACCCGATATCTTCACCACAGTACCCGACAGGTTCACTACAGTACCCGATAGGTTCACCACAGTATCCGACCGCTTCACCACAGTACCCGACAGCTTCACCACAGTACCCGACAGCTTCACCTCAGTACCCGAAAGTTTCACCACATTACCCGACAGCTTCACCACAGCACCCAACAAATTCACCACAGTACCCGACAGCTTCACCACAGTTCTCGACAGCTTCACCACAGTACCCAACAGCTTCACCACATTACCCGACAGCTTCACCACAGTACCCGGCAGCTTCACCACATTACCCGACAGCTTCACCACAGCACCCGACAGCTTCACCACAGTACCCGACAGCTTCACCCAAGCATACGACGCTATCGCCACAGAGTCGACCTTCAGTCACACAGCGCCCTACAAGGTCTCATAACATCTACTCACCTTCCCAGCCCTTCAAGAAGCCAGCCATCACTTTCTACTCGTTGGAGGAAAATGACTATGATGAGGAATATGAAGAGACTGTGGTGAGTCCCCCTACTGACGAGGTACTTACCGAGAACTACTACACTCAGGACTCGGGTACTGACCCAAACAATGCTCCTCCGTTTAATCCTTACAGCTACTACAGCTCATACGCGGAGGAGGACGATTACAGACGATATTTCCAACATCCACTTTACTCCCAGTTGAAGCCGTATGTACGTTCTAGAGCGTTTTTCGGGCCTCACGTCGACGACACCGCGCACAGAGGACTTTTCTCTTCCGATGGTGTGTCCCCGAGGAAGGAACAATTACAATACATGAGTCCCAGGGTCGTGGAGGATAAAGCCGCTTATTATCCCCAGGAGATCCTTCGTCGGTACTATCTTGACTCCTACACTCACGGTTCTAATCTACGAAGAAACGACTCTGTGGCTGACAGGTACAGGGAGAACCCGTACACTAGGAAGTACCTAGGGGTGACACCGAAATACGTGACGACAGCAGGTCCTAACCCCCCTAGACCAGCCCTACCATTTGAAACCGAGCTCACTGAAGGAGGGTCATACTCTGCCACACCAGCTCCTCTAGTACCTATCTATAACACGGTCGTCCCCCAGCAAGTAGTAGGAGGTGTAAGGCTATCACACGTCGCCAAAGACTCATCCTTGTATCCAAAGAAAGAGGTTAAATACGACTATTACTCAACACCATTTCCTAAGTACCAGGAACAAGTATCAACTCCATCATACGAACGGGTGGCTGAAGGGTCATATAACTCACCCGCCGCTCATAAAACAGATAAACAAGCATACCGCACCTCAGCTGCTCCACATTATGAGAAAGAGAACATTGCCAACACAACACCTCGACCGCAGTTAACCACAAAGGTTCACAGACCTGTTACAGACAACATCGCTGAACTGAACGGCTATACAACACCGTCTTATAGGGACGAGACGCCTGAACCAAAATACAAGGCAGTTGTAGCCGCACTGGCTGAAGGGAAGTCCCTCCTGGATCTCTTTCCCTATAAAAAGCCCGAAGAACATCCATACATCAGCGATACTCAACCTGCCACACCTGAACTGAAGCGCACGACAACAGTGACTCCAAATAGGCGTCGTAATTTGACTACCACGACACCTCCGACAACGGCTAAGACTGTCAGGAACACTCAGGCTCCGAAAGGTCGTCGTACACTACCAATCAGAAGAAAGCCAACACGTCGTCTATCACCCGCGCGTAAGTATGTCGGCGCCGTTTACTCTGATCCAACAACAGCTAAACCTACACCGAAGTCTCCCCATCGTTCTGTGCCAACCCCTGCCTCAAGCACTCCAGCAGCAGGATATGTTACATTATCTCCCCCCACCTCCGGTCATGCCGCTGTAGATGAATCCCTCAGTCCTCACAGTAAACATGAAGATGTTGATGAAGATTTTACCAGAGGAAAGCTGCTGCGGAAGGAAAGAGTGAAGACGCATCAGACGCCAAGAATCTCTGTAAAAAATAACCGACAGCCACAGAAGACGCTCCTTGAGGGAGAACAGAAGACTTCGACAGGAACCATCCGCCGTAGGATACCTACACTACCAAGTAACTATAATCCTCGAAGCCGACCATCAATAACAAAATCTCCTGCTGATGACATCCACCAAGTCACTGAACCTCCGGCAGTGCCGGCGAAATCCTCCCAATATATTGAAGGCACACAAAACATAACCCCTGACAATCCATCCACCTCACATCAACCGCTCACCTCCCGCCCGAAAGCAATTGTTCCGAGGAAGAAAATCCCACCACATCGTGTAAGACCTCTCATGCGTTTGCCATCAGGAAAACGTCGACTCCGTCCTATGGGTCTTCGTCGTCGTCCATCTCGTCCTCACCCTCAGTCTTCAACTCCTCAGCCTCCCACGCCCTCGACTCCTGTTACTTCATCTCACCTTACAGCTGTCACCGAGCTTCCTCCTTCTAGTGTCCCTCAAGCTCAGGAGTCACCTCATTACCTCCCTCCTTCACCTTCCACTTCTTCCCTCCCTCAGCAGGAAGACCTCCCCAGTTCCCGTCCTCTTCCTCCTGTAGTTGTTCACACATCAGGAGACCAAACACTTGCTCACTCTCCCGCCTCCAATACTTTAGTCCCATCAGCAGAAGGGTCGTATCATACCTCTGCTTCCCCTCACCATGATCACCACCCAGCCTCCCTCTCCACCACCACCACCACCACCTCGGCCCCGTCAGGAGAAGGGTCATCTCATTCCCCTCTTCCTATACCCACAGGTGGGAATAAGTCCTTGCCAGGCCCCATTCTACGACCAACCAGAGACCCGACGGGAGTGACCGGACCGATTTCACCCCATGCGACCCGAGCAAATCAAAACACACGTCCCCATAACACACACCCCAGCAACACAACCCCACGGGACGCAACACTATACAGTAACACTTATCACTCTACATCTCTACCATTAAACCGATCCACAACATTAGTAAAAAACAATTATTTACAACAACTAAACTCCACTGCTATTATTCATAATTCACCAGCACAAAGTGAATCTAATAATCACTTCAGCTATTTTCAGACACTTACAAGCAGCCCAAAGTTGAAGCAATCGAATAGTTATAATCCCGAGAGTTCATACGCTCCAGACGTTAAAAGATCAGTAGACTCACTTTACAAACACGATAAGGACATCGCCGCGAGTTCCTATCATGTCCATCACAGCAGCGATTCACTACCGAATGTGCAGTTTACTTTTAACATCAACGTTCCTGCTAGTAGTTTGTCTAACAATTTCAGAAAAGGTTCAGGTGATGTAAACCATCAAACTCGGACGTACCATCTCTCCTTCCCAGCCTCAGATCCGACGTACAGAGGTAATGTTCCACGAGGGTTGACGACCACAGTGTCTCCCTCACTACAAACTCGGTATCAGTACGTTTCTCCACGTCCAGAATCATCCGTAAGTTCTGGAGTTTCCTTCAGCCACACAACAACAACATCTCCACGGTCTCGGTCTTTAAATAATGGTCAAGCTAATAGATCGGGAAATTATGGTCGTTCCGGATCCTCTGCTGAACCACTAAAGTATACAGGTAGACCTGAAGCCACTACCACTCACAGACCATCTACTTCATCATATACGACCTTTCAGAGGGGAACAAACGTAAACACTACACCCAAGAGTGTTGTGTCTCGGCACTATGGCGGAACCATCGACACATTGAATGAGCTGCACCATCGACCATCACACACTATGCCCTATCGTCCAGCTACATCACAGCCACACCATATTCTTCCTCAACACAACTATGCAACTGGCACTGCACCTTTCAATCCCAGCGGGACTGTAGATACTCTCTCTCAGCCTCGTGCACCCCACGGCAACATACCGATAATTCACCTGACGACAGCGCCACTGCCACCTAGCGGAGAAAACTTGTACCAAGTACGGAAATCCTCCACCAGCAAACATGGTGGCCAAGTCCAGGACACATACACTGTTCTTCATGTAAACAAACAGACTGAGCGCCATTCTGTGTCCCCGAGAACTATGTCACATAACCATCTCTTCACTCCAAGACCTACATCCTTCAACCAACAACCTCGAAACCACCGCGTGATCTCCAACCATGAGCCACCGATTATCCCCTTAATAAACGGGTACCTCCCAACCTCCAGTCCTCACTATGTAGGTAACAACGACAACCCGACTTTGAGGACCTACAACGACTACCATTCTCAGGCGAGGGAGAACAAAGGAAGACAGACACCACATAACCGGTATTTTCCTCCCACGAGTGTGTCTCCCCAAGGAGGTCATCAGAGAGGTGGTCAAGTCCTCACTACCACCACTACCAGGAGACCTTCCCCAGCCCCAAGGATCACAACATTTTATCCACCTTACAATCGTCATCATACACACACAACACGTCCCTCACCGCGACCATCACCATCGTCATCACCACCACCACACACTAGAACAATCACGACTACTACTCGTTCTCCTGTACTCTATCGCAACTCTGTCACTCGCGTTACTCATCGTCCACAGACAGTAACCAGGAGACCGGTTACTACTCATCCCGTCACTCGTCAGCCTATCAACAATTACGAAGTAACTCCCTATCATAAATCCGAGCACCATGTACCAGCATCACACTCCTCTTATCTGGGCAACAACAACAACCCACACCTCCACATACAACAGTTACACGAGTCCAGACCCCGTCATCCACATCATAACTCTCAGGGTCATCCACCTCCTCATCCCATCACCCACCATAACTATAGATCCGGTAACAGCCCTCACCACAACCAGAAAACAACTCGGATTCCTTGGCCAAGAGCGCCAGAAAGACCTCTAACTTCATATAGTCTGCCCCCGAGGCTTCAGGAACCAGTTCAAGTTAACACACACAGGGGTTCAGACGCTCACATTATAACAAACGACCCATACAGAAACACAGACTTCAACACACCACCACCGCGATCACACACTACAGCAACACCACCTCAGGAGACACCCACTCCTATCCACTACCATACACAACATGCCATCCCAGAGTCCACCAAACCACGCCATGAAACAAACACCCGTTCTAATCACCACTCGACCAAGCCACCGTCACCACACAACTTCCATACATCAGTGTCGTTTGTGCACATCAATCCTCCCCGAACGTCGTCGCATTCTGAGAGAGTGAGGGCAGAAAGGCCACTCTCACGACACACTCCCCAGGGCCCTCTCTTTGATAAGTCTTTCACAAAGCGGAATTCCATTACATTTTCTGCAGATTCACACTCTACTTCGAGGCCTGAAATCAACCACAACACCCCCTCTGGAGCACACAAGACTCAGCCGCTTCCTGTGCTAGCATCACATTCTAGTTATCTCGGGGGTTCCAAGAAACCTGTGGTGGCCCAGCCTCAGGCAGTCGCTGTTACACCCAAGTCTGATTATGGTATCCGCGTCCCTATAAGTATTCAAAGCCCTCATCCGCCTTCTCCTGAGACAGCATCATACACACCATCACTTGTACAACAACCTATACAACCACCAAGTACGCAAACATACTCACCATCACCTATACAAACACCAAGTAAACAAACATATTCACCATCACCTGTACACCAACCTATACAAACACCAAGTAAGCAAACATATTCACCATCACCTGTACACCAACCTATACAACCACCAAGTAAACAAACATATTCACCATCACCTGTACACCAACCTATACAAACACCAAGTAAGCAAACATATTCACCATCACCTGTACACCAACCAATACAAACACCAAGGAAGCAAACATATTCACCATCACCTGTACACCAACCTATACAACCACCAAGGCAAACATACAAACAGCCACCTTCACCACCACACACTCCTCCACCTACACGCAGCAACACACCACCTATACAACATATAACCCCACCTACACGAAGCTACACACCACCACCTACACCAGTAAGTGGAGCTAGTAGCTACACCCGCATCAAGAAAAGCTCCGACTCAGGTGGCAGTTTACGTGCCAGTCATGACCAGGGCTTCAGGGATGAATCTAATAAGGACGAAGGTTTTGGGGACCTGTTGATACCCAAGACAAGACAAAGGCAACACAGGCGACAGAGACAAAAATTCAACACGACGGAGGAGGTGGAGAGTGTCACCGGGGGCCAGGAGAAGGCTCAGGTGTCAACACCTCGTCACACTTCCCCTCCTCCTCCAGATCCTAAAACTCCTGACAGAGAAGAGATCAGAGGTCAAAAGAGGCGGCGAGTTGTGAAAAGAATAAGGAAACTCGTCAATACATCTGGTGAAAAAAACACAACAAAGTCGCCTCTTAAATCCCAACAGATCTCGAGGGATGCACCAACAGTCACCAGGCATGACACGAGGATTGAACAAAAGGCATCTGAGATTCTGAGAGGGTCTCCTGCTTCTCCAGGCACCAGAAAAAGATCCCCGACCAGGTCTCCGTCTTCTGTCAGATCAACCAGCTTGACTATAGACCAACAAACGTCTGAGCCCAGTACTCAACGCCCTCAAACCATGCTAGAGCGTTTCCCCTTCAGGAGATCGAAAAGAAGGTTCACCTCAACCTCTTCTCCTCTCCCGGAAGTCACTACAAGAAACATTGAGGAACTCTCTTACCTACAGCTTCAGAGTCTTGTTGACGTTGATTTTGGTAACAAGTTAAACGTTATTGGACGAAGGACTGGAGTGGCTGAAGCCTCCACGTAACAGTGTTGGCTAAATGGACATTAAAACTGAAGGAACTCTATTTGAATAATGAATCTCTCTCTTTCAAAAAAAAAAGTGTTCTTGACACATAAAAAGAACCACTGCCAGTTAACTTAACACGCGCTTCTCTTATAAACAAATCACGTTTCTTCTGTGCAAAGGTTTTTTAAGGACATGTAACTCTAGTCATAATAAAGACTCGTGTATAAATCTGACACCCTTAGAGGTGAATATTTAGGGTGTTTTAACATTTTAGTTGCGCACGTCTCTGCTCCGCCAACCTCTCTTGTATTAGCGTCATACGTCTAGTCATTGCATGCTTCCCCGAGCAAACTGTCACAGTTGCTAAGGCTCATGAAAGGTACAAAAAAAAAAAAAATACTCACAATAATAGTTATGGCGTTTTCCTCGTCTACATTAGTGTACACATCTGATTGTATCACAATCCACTCTACTGCGCTTTTAAAGGTCAAGTCGGGGGTGTAAAGCTGGCAGGATACTGTGTGTGTGTGTGTGTGTGTGTGTGTGTGTGTGTGTGTGTGTGTGTGTTGGCCTCAGAAACAATGTCATGCCAACGTAAAACTCCTAAAAAAAGCCTCCTTAACACTGACAACAATGACCGCCTTCACCAGCATATCACATTTTGCTAAAACGCTTATAAACACCGTCGGTAATGAGGATCATCAACACGATTGTCTACGTCACGTCGCTTCAAGGGATTCGAGTAAAAATTTCACTTTATCGAGATTATGGTATTATTGTTTATTAACACCACAGACACAACAGGTATATGACAACACACCACATGACATCTCGGCCACAGGACACAACCACATGACATCTCGGCCACATGACACAACCACATGACACAGCAAATCCCTGGGCGTCCCTGTGACCATCTTGGGGTCAACCACTTCCCTCAGCCTCTCTCACAGCAGGTCAGCCGAGGAACATGACCTGGCTCACCCTGACCTTTGACCTGATCCGTCTTACAACCTGGCTCATCAAGTCCATGACCTGATGCAGATTTAACTGGTTCATTCATGACCTTTGACCTCGTTCACCTATGAACTGTCCAACTTTGGCAGGTTGGCTCAAGACATCTGGTTTGGCTGGTATTGACGTGACCTGGTTTGAACTACTTAGCCCATGACTCTCGATCTGACTTAACTTGGGATGACTTACTCAAGACTAACAGCATAATTCAGTTTGACCTTACAAAGATCTGACTCACTTATGACCTTTGAAATGACCCGGTCTGATCAAACTCAGATCACACATCAGGACCAACATTGTGACTGTTCTATTCATTACTGACCAGGTTATAGGTAACAACAGCAGCTGAGTAATCTATGGAAATTGTGGGGTACTTGGGATTCGAACTCGGGGCCTCTAGTCAGAAATCCAGCGATTACAAACACTGACCCACCCTGGACACGTTATCTTATATAGGAGTGAGTGTAAACGTCACCAGGCTCTGTGATAAGGGTGTTGTGAGGTCCTACTCCGGTGAGTAATTGCTCGACCACTCAATGACTGTGAAGATGTACAGTCAACACAGACCGAAAGGAGGCCGTGATAGTCCCAGGAGAGGCCAAGAGTTGGTCAGTAGTAGACCAGAGACCTGCCCAGACCAGACCAAATGGAAGATAAACCAAACAAACAACTTTGTTCTATTCTTAATTTTTCTTTACTAAGTCTCGTTGCTTCCTGACTCACTAATATGTGTGGCTGGTGACCATCAGCTGACACACTCCTGACAATTGACGTTCTTATTTATCCCAAACACTATTTATGGTATTAAGTTTTTGACATGACGAGATAACTCCCCAGCCAACTTCCTCTCCATATGCCTCTGTCTCTCTGGTATCTCTCAAGAGTAATTTAATCCTTTTGCTTATCATTATACTCAAAAGCTGTATCTCTCTGAACGTCTCTATCTCTCACTGTCAACGGTGTTTCTTGACTGACTGAATATGACAGCAGGACGTGTGGGATTTTTTTTTTACAGCCAACTCAACTTGACATGTCTTATGACAGATATATTGTTGGTCACCAGAAAAGCCAGACGTTGACCTGACCTATGAACGAGTTAACTGTAGTAATAACAATGGCAACAACCACCATCACCTCCCCTACACTAACGACTGCACTGATGACTCGACGTTTTGACATTATATTAACGTCACATTTGTTGACTTTTAATGTAAAGTCTGATATTGATTAAAAATTCTGATTCATTATAATTTTAAAAATTAAAGAATCTGTACACTTGAGCTTTGCTATTAACTGTTCACTCAAAAATTTTTATTCGAATGAAACGTTGCTTTAAAATTCATAAGTATTATTTTCAATCATTGCAGTCGAGATAAATATAATGTTTACTGTGTCTTGATCACTAACATATTCCTTCTTATTATACAGACAAGAACAGGAAGCAGCCGACTGTGAATACCCCAGACGTCGCTTGGCTCAGAAAGTTGGTAAGTATCTCACACATTCCCTAAGTCAGTCGAATTTGATATAAAGGTAACATATAACAGTAAGACCTGAGGCTCTTAGGTGAAGTTAGTTTTATAAAATCCATTCACTTCTCTCTATAGGCTGCCCAGGACGATGATACCGAACAATCTGATGACACTGAATCGAAATCTCAAGTGGGTTCAGAAAAGGAAGAGAGCCTGGAGGAGGTCCGTCAGTACTCCCTGGCGCTGTATCGACATTTGCAGGACCAACTCACGAGCAGACAATTGGCCTTCCCTCGGCGTCGTCTTCTTCACAAGCGGAGGCGGGTGACTCGGCAGACAAGCACGTCCGATGAGAATGCCGCAGCAAAGGACGTTGAGGTGATTGATATTGAGAGAATGTTATCTGAGGACTCATCTTTCATCCCTCCGGTCGATCCTAAGAAACTGAGAATCGCTATCAATAAGCTCCTGCAGCTGGCTAATTCTCAAAAGAAGAAAGGTTACACGTATGACAAACCCAATGGATTCACTTCTTTCATTCCCAAAGAGTTGGAGGACAGCGGGGAGGAGGTCACTGTTCCAACAGAATCTCTAACACCAGAGGGACGCCCAGAGAAGCTTCAGGAGATTGAACTCATCGGAATTGACGCCAGTTTACCCTCCGAGGAAGAGAGTGACGCTGAGATTACTCCTCTCTTCATCACCTCTGCAACACCTGTGACTTCTGCCAATCAAGTTGCTCAGGTGACGCCCGCAACAGAGGTAAGCAATACATATTTACCTCCAACACAGGTTGTTGACACACTGGGAAGGAAACCTTCAAGATTTCGACCAGGGAGCCGCCCACGACGACCGTTTTATGGACGACGTCGACGATATAGGGGCTACCGTCATCATTGTCCTTACCCAGACACCAACAGTGTGACCTCCCATAGGCCCCTCGTGCTACCCACCATCCCCTCACGACCAACGGTTCCTGAACTTGATTTCATCTCGACTACTACTCCTGCTACATCTCCTGCCCCTCTCCTTCTCCCCGAGATTCCTGTAACTGCCCCTGAAGTTGTTACTGTACCCAGTCTAAGTCCCGCTGTCCCAAGGATCCCCGGTGCCCTCCCAACATCACCTCCTACCTCACCTGCCCCAAACGCTGTCACAACTACTACTTCGAGCCCGAATCTTAACCAACCAGCGCCTTTTCCTGACTACGATGATGAATATGATGACGATTATGACTACGAGTACGACGATGACTACAGCGATTATGATAATGAATATGATGAAAATGATGATGAAGATTATGATGAGGACTATAAATTAAGCGAAGATGGTGGTGTTGACCCAGGCTTCACAGGGGGCAACAGAAGGCCGGGGGGAGAAGGCGTCACCCCCGTCACTGACCGCAGCCTCTTCGGAGCTGGTAGAAGCGGTGCCGGTGAGCGTTCTGTTATCATCCTGGTCGAGCCTGAGAATACCAACGCTGAGCGAGAAAGAGACAGTGTGAGAAGTCCTCTGAAAGTGTCTCAGGGAGGAGAAGGTGGATCAGCTATCATTGTAGTTGACGGAGCCGTTGACGACATCGGGAGAGGCAGCACCAGAGTCTTGTCAGAGTCTAGAGAAGAAGGGAGAGGAGGAGAAGGCCAGTCACCCGTCATCCTTATAGAAAAAAATACTCCAGAATCGAGATGGGGAGACTCTCCAGTCATTCTAGTAGAAAGTAGTGCTAAGGGCAACCAGCGGAGAACGTTAAGAGAATTCACAGCATCACGAGAACGTCAAGGAAGTGGACCTACGGTAATCTTAGTGGAAAACGATGGTGATGTCAATCCTGGGTCAAAAGAATCAAGATGGCAGGAGTCTCCTGTGATCCTGGTGGAGGGGAGCGCTGATGACATTTATACGGGGAAGTCAAAAAATCTCCCTGGATCAAGGGAGAGAGGGGGGAAGGGTTCTCCCGTAATTCTGGTCGAACCTGGTGTTGGTACGAGCACAAGAGGAGAGACAAGAAACTCTTTAGGATCAAGAGGACGAGATGGTGAGGCAACCATCATCCTAGTTGAGACAGAGGAAGGTGAGTTCAGAAAGGTGAGAAACTTCGACAAGCGTCTCACAAATCCAGGTGACCGTGAGAACGAGGGCACGGTCATCCTACTCGTCAATGAAGCTAAGACACCCTCGCAGCCTCCTGTAAGCACTCTAAACCCGACCGCAACGCCTCTTTTAAGTCAGCTGACACCACCTCCGGCAACACTCGCTAACTTTCGTCCTTCCATAAACAGAATACCAGAGCCAGTCACTTCTCGATCAAAATCCACTAGAAATCCTCTGTTTCCACCGATAAATTCTATAAATCCTCTACCAACCCGACGGAATCCAGAGTTCCTTGACGAAGGACTTCCTACTAGAATAACAAGAACTTCAACTGAAGATTCGAGACGTCGTCGCCTGAGATCCAGAACTAGGAGACTCCGGCCTCAAGGCCGTGTGAGCACTGGAGGCACTGGACGTGTCCGTAATATTCTTCTTGGCCGCAGGCGACGACCGGAGGGTCTTCGAAGATTTAGAGGTGATGTAGGCGAAGGAAGAGATGATGACAGAGCGAGTAGAGACACTTGGGACAACAGAAGTCAACGAAGAGAAGATGACAGTAGGCAGCAAGACCTAAGTACAGTCCGGACACCTCCAGGTCGACAAGGAGGGTTCTCAGGTGATCACAGACAGAGGCCTTTTATAAATAGAGTAAAGGAGGCTCCTGAATTTTTCACCGGACGCAGAGAATTTCCAAGAGGAAATCCAGAGCTCCTGGGTGACCGTCAGGTACTCCCAGGTGACAGCAGAGAAAATACAGGAAGAAATGGGGAGAGGACGAAAGGCCAGCGGGTGTCCGAAGAAATCTTGGACTACGGGGATCAGGAGTCGTGGCTGGGACACGAAGGGTTCTCCTGGCAGGCTCGGTTTCCTCCTGAAGTCCGAGTCACGAGGACCAGTGAAGTCGTTCCCGAGAAAATTCATGAACTCCGTCGGTCCATCGAGGCCAGAGCTCGGGCCTGGACACAATTTGGTCTGCAGAGAACCAGACCCGAGTTTAGAAGGTATCGTCGGCTTCGTGGGGAATAAAAAGGAAAAAAAATGTAACTAACATTAAAGAAATTTCCCTAACTCTATTTATTGAGTGTTTTGTCACACTTGCTCATTATATTGACTTTAACCTGGAGTCAATCTGAAGGTGTCGAGGACATGTTCATCTGTTTCACAACAAAGTGTAACTGAGAACATTTGAAGGATGAAGGTGTATCGTATTCTCTTATCAGTTATCTTACTACCGTGGACGCATCTTTGTCTTACTGTACTGGACACTACGCGATGGTGAGGTGGTCAGTGAGCTAACACCATAGATCAGTTCTCGCTGTAACTCAGTCAACGCGAGGCCAAACAAGTTAACTCTCACGTGATGGTTAACTCGTTCCTACTGTGAAATAAACAGAAACTATAATAAGGAAAACAAATCTCTGAGTTTCTGAAGTATTTAAAAAAAATGTTGACTTAAAACAGTGAAGTGATCTTATTGCTTTGTTGGCCATTTTTTGCATTATTTTATTTTTCTTATGTTGTTGTTGATATCTTCTGTTATCTATATGTTATTAAAATCATTAATATAAATGTTTTGTATGTATGTATTTGTCAGCGGGAACCAAAGTGGATCTTATGCTTTGCTGCATAATATGTATGTATATGTATGTATGTATGTATGTATATATGTATATTGTCTTCCAAATATATCCGTAAAGTTTTGATGCAGCTCCTTAAAAGTTCAAACACAGGGTGGTGCTGGCTACCTCTCGCTGTGACTTGATTATCATAAAGAAAAGTTGCCTGGGCTTAACGTCATAATACACGGTGAGGGGGAGGGGGGATGATCCACCCCCCCCCACCCCCACCCCCCCACCCCCACTCACCATGGCGACAGCTGGAGTCTGTGTTTTGTGCTCACCTGTTCTTTTAACCGTATCTATAGTATATATTTCCTGTATTTTTTCTAGTCATTGTTTAATTTTTGAGTTCTTCTGGTGATAAAACAGATTTGTTTCCAGGAGAAGTCTTGTGAAGGAAACGACACTGAACTTTATCATCTCTAACACTGTTAAACCCGCCACGTTAGTGTCACTAAACACTAGACCTGAAGTGAACCCTCTTCTGTTTATTTCACCAGAAGATGTTTTTTATCCTCTTTAAGTCATCATTGATCACAAGGACGATACAACTCCTCCCTACGTTCAGTGTCAACAAAGTCGTCAGGAGGATCAGCTGTTTAGTGTTTACATGTCGTGTCCCGTTTTTACTGTTGTCATACACTTGTTATTTCCTCACGGTGTTGTTGTCACTGTTGGTTTTTATAGTTTTTTAAAGGATAAAATAAAAACATATATATTTTTTAAGTAGTTTATTCTCCTGTGTTTATAACTATTTAAAACTATGAGGTAGTATCATTGTATTGGGAGGAACACAACTTTCATTCACGTTGATATAAAGCACTCGTAGCACTCTGGTAGTTAACTGGTCACATTCAACGAAGTTTTCTGTACACGAACCAAGCGTAAAGTTATTTGTGTTTGTAAACAGAAAAGGTTAAGATGACTAAGCATTACCTCCCGCACCCAGATCCTGAAACAAAAAGTCAGGTGTTATTAATTTACCTGTGGTGATGGAGGTAAATAGGGATAGGTAAATCTATATAATCGTTTACTGTTATCTAAGAACTTACCTGTAAGTGGTCTATACAATATGCATGGAGTGTTATGAGTACATATTCTAAACCCATTGATTACGATATATTAACCCTTTTGAGTACAATGGACTATTTCCTGGTATATGATGTCTTTGAATTTAGAGGGTTAAGTCATTGTACTCAAAGGGAGGGGTTAAGTCATCGTACTCATTGGGTTAAGATAATACTTACCACCTCCACAGCAATCTCCACCTCCTCCACCTCCTCCAATGTCGTATGCCCCCTCTCTTGCACCTCCACTTTCTCCACCCTTGATAATTATAGTACTGCCTCCACCACTGCTGTGGCCTCTACCACTGCTGTGGCCTCCACCACCTCCACCACTGCTCCCTCCATATCCTCCACCTCCTTCTCCTACTCCACTTCCTCCTCGTCCTCCCTTGAATATTATGGTATGTCCTCCTCCTCCACCTCCTCCGTTGCTTCCACAGTCCCCAAATCTATTTCCTCCACAGTCAACTCCTTTAATGCCGCCTCCAATACCTCCTCCTCCACTGCTGCTACTTTCGTATGCACCACCTCCTCCTCCTCTTTCACCAGCAATACTACTTCTACTATTTCCGTAAATTCCAGCACCTCCAAAGTCTCCTCCAATAGAGCGACTTCCATTACCAACTCAAAACGCACCACTTACTCTGCTATATCCACCTCCTACTCCACCTCCTCCACCCTTAATGACCATAACATGACCTCGACTGATTTCTCCTCCTCCTCCTCCTCCTCCTCCTCCTCCAAGTCCACCACCACCACCTCTTCCTCCTCCTCCTCCTCCACTTGTAATATTAAAGGAGATATGGGAGTTACATATAAAGGTTTTGTCATAATATAAAGTGGAAAAAAAAAATATATTTATATATATATATATATATATATATATATATATATATATATATATATATATATATATATATATATATATATATATATATATATATATATATATATATATATATATATATATTTAATCAACTATAGTTTACTTATATATTGCTTGTATATTTCTCACACTTTGTATATACCACTTGCATATCTCACTCTCACTTATTTCTTTCTTTCATTCTTTCTTTTGCTCTCTTTTTCATTCTCATTTTTACTCTTTCATTCTTATTTAAACTAAATGAGTCCTGAGGGACACCGCAGTGCAGTATTAAACGGGGTGGTGAGGCGGTAAAATTCACTACAGGGGGTAATTCCAATAAAATAAGTCTTTCGTTCTCTGTCCCTCTCTACTTACCTGTGATTTTCTCTCATCCTCTTTTCTTTTCTGACGGTCTTTTCCACGTTCACCTCTCTCTCTCTTTCTCTAACACCTACCTCCAAAGCCTTTGCCACCTTTACCGCCGCTGCCGCCGTAGGAGACGCTGATAACGGTGACATCAAAGACGTCACTGTTATCACCTTTACCACCGCCGTCGCCACCCCGTCCTCCATGACCCCTCCCTGGCGCCACAAGGGGAGCGAGGGTTAACATTGGCCAGTCTCTAGTAAACTATTGTCAATTATTTCTCTTCATAGTATTGTGTGGGATATTATTTAACGAGAATTTCATTATAAAAATATAACGAACAAGATAAACTTCATCTTGTTATTGTACACAACTAGTTGATAAATATTCAAAACGAACATGTACAGTAAGTTAAGTTGTTTGGTGCTGCACCTTAATTCTGCTTTTTCTCTTTAATTTACTGTATCGTTTCTATGTTGCAAACAATATTTAATCTAGATGAATTCTGCTAACATACAAACACAATACGGGTACAGACAGGCAGACAGACAGACAGACAGACAGACAGACACACACACACACACACACACACACACACACACACACACGCACATAATACTTTAGTCTTTAAGACACTAGGAAAATAAAGCGAGTATTACACCTGAATCTCTCTGGCGGAAATTAACTTCTTATCCTCTTACTGTGGAACAAAATAAAAAAAACAATTAGTCTTAACTACACGAAATCTTGCACTTTCCTTTTTGAAATATAAACTGTTTTATGGACATGGACCGATGGATGGACTGGGAGTACAAACAAACATATGTACGAGTGGAGCTTAATACACACCTGCTCCACCGCCCACCGCCCTTCAGCAGGTGGAGGAAACCAGGCGTGACCACAACTGACAATACCAGCAGGAACACGAGAAACGTTCTCTGTCGTCGAGTGGGAGAGAGGAGGGAGTGTGATTCAGTTCAGAAAGACAAAACCGATATAAAACATCTACTACTACTTAGGGGGCAGTGAAATTTTGCTCAAAGCTGCACTCTTCAGGCATTGTTCCGTATACATATCTAAGACTCCATGCCAAATTTGAAGCTGATATGTCGAGGTTTAGTCTGCCGCATTTTCTACTGAAATTTTTAAATTTACCTACAGTACTAGCCAAACAGCCGCTGTGGCGGTCAATGTTCTGTTCAGTGTTTATCAACTTTTTTTTCATATCTCTTATTTCATTTAAGTTGTCTTGTTGCAGATGAGTATGGTGCTATGTGTATATTGATTATCAGCCTTTTCTCATTTCATTATGTCATCATGGTTGAGCCTGGCAATGAATATCTCACACATGTGACTCCCAAGACTGGACACGGAAAGCAGATTGCCAGAACTATTCACGAGTTTCTGGTGGAGAAAAATCTAACCCAGCAGCCCATTGTGTGTGTTGGTTGTGATGGAACCAATGTAAATGTAGGATCAGAAAATGGAGTCATTCATCATCTTGAAATGTTACTTGGTCACCCGCTCCATTATTTCATATGTCAGCTTCACGGAAATGAGCTGCCTTTCCGCGCAGTTTTTTATCACTATGATGGTAAACCAAGTGGTCCTGAGCATTGGCGTGGTCCCATTGGAAAGCAGATCAAGGAGTCTTTGTTTGAGCTTCCAGTTGTCGCCTTCCAGCCAGTCAGTTTCCCTGATTTCCCTGTGTTTAATGATGAAGTGGAGAAAGATCTGTCCTGGGATCAGAAATACCTGTATAGGATTTGTAAAGGAGTTATCACAGGTGTTGTTGAAGATGACTTGGCTGCTATTGAGCCAGGTCCTCCCTGTGTGTCAAGGTGGAACACCTTATGGAGTAGAATCCTCAGGCTGTATGTAGCAACATCAAGACCCAGCCATGAGTTGAAAAGAATTGTCATTACAATAATAAAGTTCAGTGCTCCAATGTGGTTTTACATCAAGATACACCCTTACGTAACACACGGCTCAAGGAACGTATTCCAGTCCCTGCTATATATGAAACACCTGAATAGTGAGGAGGAGACGATAGTGAAGAAGGCTGTCCAGAGAAATGCATACTTCGCCCACACAGATCAACTTCTTCTTGGTATGTGTGCAGATTAGGACATGACTGTTAGAGAAAAAACTGTTTCAATGATAAGAAAAATTAGAGAGGAGAATCAGCAAAAGGAAGAATGCACTGGCAGATTTGAAGAGGAGGAGGAAGATTCTGATGCTGCTGTTGACGAGAATTTGTTAAACTATACTGATGAGGAGGGTAAAGATGGAGATGGGAATGAGGATGTGCCTCCTGTAGTCAACATGAGAAAGGTGGTGACTCCGAAACTAAAGTGGCAAGCAAAAAACTATCATTCCATGATTAACTGGAGGAATGAACTCAAGACTGAGCCTCCTTACATTGCTTCTCTGTCAAATCTACAGGTTAATGACATTCTTGAGACACCATTAGTGGTGCCCAAGTGGCCAAACAGCACTCAGGCGGTCGAGAGAGGCATAAAAGTGATGACTGAAGCTTGCACTGAAGTGACGGGATACGAATCGAGAGATGGATATATTAGGCAAAGATTATTGTCTAGGAAAATGATGCCAAGGTTCCGCACAAAAAAGAATTTCAATATGAACTTGTAATGATTTTCTATACGGTGTACCTGTAAAATAACATGTGAATTAAATCGATGTCACCCATGTAAAATGTATCATTATCCTGGAAAACATTAAATGACACCTAATTTTTGGTATACACTAAAAGTTGACAAAAAGTCGTTCGCGAAGCGGCAGGGTAAGTATGCATGAAATGGCATGAAATTTTGCACAGGTGTTTGTTACAGCCATACAAACGAGGCCTGAAAAGTGCAGCCTGCAACTTAAATAAAAGTGTTTTTTCCCTGCCCCCTACTACTACTACTACTACTTTTTTTTTTTTTAAACGTGGCCTCCAGCCTCCCCAATAGCCACACCTTCGCCACCATTTATTTACCTTAATATTAAATATCCTAATACATAAGAAGCTATCCTATCTGTGTTAAATTAGTTGAGCCGCAGATCTATGCGGCATTCAGTGACTGTAGCCTCATAGTCAATATCTGCAGCAGTTGTCGGAGTAGGGGGAGAAGCTCTCGTTCCCCTGAGGCAGAGCAAAGCCGACCGAAGGAGAGAGAAAGACAGTCGATAATCCCATCCAGGCTGTAACATAACTTCTGGGCTGCTGCTTCTGTTCGGAGATCAACTCCGCGAGTCTGGCGTAGAAACAACTTGCACTTGGTCCCATCCCACCACAGGTTGTGAACACTAGAGGAGTGAAGATGCCTTGATCAACGTTTTGAATTCTCTCCCCATCTGCCCTTCTCTTGTCGTTCTCGTTCCTCCTATGTGCAGCATCGAGAGCCAGGTTACGGT